TCATTTTTCTGCTTTTTTTTTCCCCAGGCCATGTGCAATAGTTCTGGCAAAGGAGCAAAATAAATTTCCCAGTTGTCCTGCCTGCTGCCCAGTACCTGTATGTTTTTAATGTGTGTTGTCTTGTGTGGTTGCTCTGTGATGCAACTGCTTGAACATTTTTGCTTTAAATATTCTTTTCTAGTAGAAAACAAAGTCTAGAAGGGAAACTGTTGAGCTGAATAGTCCAGCCAAATGCTGTGTCAGATCATTCTGTCACAAACTAATCAAATCCCAACTCCAAATTGGTTCCATGTTTTGCCTTCACTTTTGCTCTTGGAAGGCTAGTCCAGAAATTGACTGCCTTTGAGTGGTTAGAAACTGTATTTAAATTTCTAGTTTGAATTAATTTGTGGCTGGTACATTCCTGGTTTGTTTTGGAGCCAACATTGTCCTTTAACTTAAATAGTTTTTGGTGTTTATCTGCTGATGTATTTATGGAGAGTAGTCATAGCTCCCTATTTTTTGCCAAGCCAACTCAGCCAAGCTTTTTCAGTAGAAGGTTTTTATTTAGTGAGAGCTTTTTAATGTGGGAGACTTTATTGTTGGTGGTAAATGATATTTATTAGGAGGGTGGGTAGCAAACCCCAAAGGATCGGATCCAGAGATTTACAAAAAATCTGTTTTAAAAACAAAAAAGCTCTTTCAGAACCTCTTCCAAAGATGGTGTCTGATTTCTACCTTTAATTGCCCTTGCTTTTGCAATTCTTTCTTCGCCCCCTCTTCTAGAGGCCGCCTTGCTCAGCTGCTGGAAGGGGCTGTGGCTGCTCAGTGCTTTGGCAGAGGCTTCCCCTCGCCTGGTGGGATGTGCTGGGTGCTTGTGCCTGAGCTCACAGGGCTTCCCAGGTGTGACACTGTGGCCAAGTGTGACCGTCTGCTCCAGACAGAGGTGACCTGCACCCCACAGAGAGCGGGGTGACACCTTGGATGTGGCACTTGCACTGTGCATCCCACAGCCAGACCAGCCACCCCACCACGCTGTGAGCAGGGGTGGCACTGACCTGGAGCAGCCTGTGTGGCACCAGGCTCCCTAAATTTGCCTTTGGGAGCATTGCTGATGGTCATGACACAGCTGGAGGCATGGCCAGCAGCCATCCCACCTTGGCTGGAGATGGCTCAGCTGGTGGCATCCCCCTGGCTCTCTTTGGGGACAAGGGACAGCTCCAGGGGTTTACCCTCATGGGTGCAATCCTGTGCACCCCAAAATATCAGAGAGGGTGGCAGAATCTGGGTGGTTCTAGAGCTTTGAAAGCAGATCTGGGAGTTGTGCAGCCTGAGAATGTGGATGTATGTACAGTGTCACCTTCAGAGAACAAATACAGGTAGGTCAATTTACTCTGTAGTGTCTGTGTACATGCAGGTTTATTTAACTACACATATATACAGTTCAAATATGCCATTGATTCTTTATTGCATTATGATGTACATTAAAAATGTACACTTTAACTAACTACTTGCTATATAAATACGTTGGAAGTGTAGTTTGCCCATTCAAGGTGATTTTCTGTGGGATTTTTGGTGTACACTTAAGGGCCTATGGCTGATTGGAAGAGTGATCCCCACTCCATCTACAGGAATGCTTAAGGACTATGGTATGAACTGGTCCCTTCAAATCATGTTTTGATACACTAGCTGAAATATTTTGCACTTGGATTGCATTCAAACAGTTTTCCAGAAAAATTGAAAAGAAGTCTTGTGAGCTAGAGGGAGAATTTCCCGGTGTACACAGAAAAACCAGCCTTGAGGGTTGGAAGCTGCTGAGGTTTTTGAGCTTTGTCTCCATGCATTCATACAAGCACAGCAGGAGTTTTCTTTCTTTTGGGTGAGAGGAATTTTTAAAAGTGGTTCCATGCAGAGTCCCCTTGGACATGGCAATGGGGCTGGCAGACGCCTTTGCATGGGGAGGGTAAGATTTAGAGACAAAAAAGAAATCAAAACATGATCGAGTTCCCTTTCTAACTCCTACATTCCTTGTTATCTGCATTTTTTAGTTGACTTGAAATCTCCATAAAAGTATAAGCTGAAGATCTTTGAGGGTTTAGCTCTGTGGTTTTCTGTTTCTCAGCTGAGGAGGAGAAACAGGTGCCATCTCCAAACAGACTTGGGTTTTAGTGCAGGACATTGGAAAAGTGTTTGCATCTGAAACTGAAAAGAAAAATTGAGAGGTGGCTTGACAGTCCCAACAGCAGCTCTTGTGGTGTTAAGAGGAAGTGTCACCACAATTCTTCACAGTGTGTGAATATTTATCATCATCTAATCAAAGATGACTATCTTGACTTGAAAGGGGTGTAAGATCGAGGTGATGTAGCCAGCATCAGTAAGGAAGGGAAATTAAATTCTCCACCTCCATCCGCTGTGCCTGAGCTTGGGCTTGGCAGGCACAGCAGAAACCATCAATTTTAATCCGTGTGAATCTTGTTACTTATGTCTCTGAGGCTGCTTAGATTAAGGGCACAATCCAATTGCTTAATAACCCAAAACCCTGATTTGTGCTTGCCCTGGCTTGCTCGTGGGAAGGGCTGGTGCTTCTCCTGGTGCAAGGAACTGAGTTTCTTTATTCATTGATGTCAGCAGCCCCTGCCATGAGATTTCTAGACATTGTTCCATGTTTCATTTGGGTACCTGATTTTTCAGCTCTGTAATTAGCATCCTTGAAATTTTTTTTTCTTTTTTTTTAGCAGAGCACTAAACAATGATCTACAGTCTCCTATCTCCACTTGCCTGAGAGCTGAGTGATGCTGCACATCAGGCTTGCAGCGTGGTGGGAGGATGGGCACAGGTGCTTGCAGGTACTTAGTGTGATTTCATGTCCCTTCCCTGAGCTGGTCACCAGAAGCCACCAGCAAAAGCAGTAGCTGCTGGCAGAGGAACACTGTAGTCCTTAACCTGGTTGAAGGATGCTCACCAGAGCTGTAAGATACCTACTGGGTTAATTTTTGTTATGTGTCCCCTGACAGTTCAAGAGAAGGTATTAGGCTGGTTTTTCATTTAGGGTTTTGGGTATTTCATTTTTTTAATTGGAAAGCAACAGGTTTTGGTCATCTGCAGAAATGTTATATTGTTTTCCCTGCAGCCCCTCTCTTACAGATGTAACAGAGGTGAACTGATCAGAAGCTTGCTCTTTGGGAATCAGATGAAAAAGTTGATTTTCAGCACTTGGGCACAAATTACAAAGTGAATGGGATGCTGCACTCTACTACTACTACTAGGTGACAGTATTCAAAATGCTTGTAAATGTCTTCTCCCTGTTGCCCAGATAATTTTGGCTTTGCTTCTTCAAATCAGTCAAGGTCCTGATGTGATTCAGCTCACCTGTCACTTCAGCTCTGGTGTCACTTCTCAGCTGATCCCAAAACCAGCTGGGTAAGATTAGGCAACACAATCCATGGAAGGGAACGAGGCACATGCAGGCTATCCCTGTTCTTTTCACTGAGAAATTTAGTTTCTCCTGTATGTTTTACTGGCAGTGGTGTGTGCCAGGAATGTTGGATTTGCATCAGAAAACTTTAAAGCAGAGCAAAGGAGCTCAGTTATGTAAGCAGTGAAGTTTTATTTATTTATTTTTTAGATTTTGGGGTTTCTTGTTATGGCCCAAGTGCTCTGTTGGCTGACGTTTGGCATATTCTGATGGCACAATTAAAGCCCTCTTTTCCCTGTACTGATGAAGGTGGTGTTAGGATTCTTGCTTACTGGTGCTAGTGAAGGTTGGGCTAGGAATCCATGGCATAGAAAATTTCTAGCTAAAATTGCACTTTCTCTCTGCCCCATCTGGCTCGTGGTGGTGTTATGGGTACGTGGCTGTGATTCCCCTTGCACATACTAACATTGCACTAAAAGAGAGACTTTGGGAACAGCGTGTTGATCACTTTGTTTCTCAGCAGACCACAAAGTCAGCCTAATGGGGTCTCTTTTTTTTTTTTTTTTTTTTTTTTTTTTTTTTTNTTTTTTTTTTTTTTTTTTTTAATTATTGTTATTTAGAAATCATGCTGGTGCTGAATGACCTGGAATTTTTGCTTGGATTTATCCAAAGGAAAATGTAACTGTAGCTGCAACGGGACCTTTCATAAGGGTGGCCGGTGCAGTGAGGGAGCAGGGTGAGAGCTCTGCTGTGTAAAGCTGTCTTTGTACTGGGGAGGTGTGGGGGTTTCCAGGGGGGTTGTTACTTTGGTTTTTTGTTGTTTTTTTTTCCAAGACCACAATTTTAAATGGTCACCTTGGCAATCGTGTGAAACAGGAAATAGTTTTTACTTTTGGTAAAGGTTTTAAAGAGGAAACAAAAAAAGCTGCCTGTGATTGTGGGCTGTAGCTATTATTAGGGCTAGGGTAGCTTGTACGTGCTATGGACTTTACCTGCTCTTATTCTGAGGGCAAGAACTCCCTGTAGCAACAATGCCACTTCTGAGAAGTGAATGGCAAGTTTCCCTTCCTTTTGTATATGTGGATGTGAGGGTGGGCAAGGGGAAGAGCTTGCTTGTACAGTTTGTTGAAATGAAACCAGACATTTTTGGTTGTTCCTAAATAAAGAGCGTAAAAATCAAACGTGAGTTGAGTGGTGCTTGCACTGGGGTTTGGGAGGGTCCTTGAGTCCAGGAATGGTTGTGCCTGCCTTCCAGCTCGTGGGCTGGGAGTGCACCATCACAACCTCCTCATTTATTTTAAAACAATGACAACTTTTGCATAGGGTAAGGCCATGAGTGAGTGCCCAGACACCTCTGCCCTAGTGGTGCTTCTTCATCCCAGAGTTCTGTCCTCAGCCTGCTTCAGAACAACACAGGCAGCTGGAGCACATAACTTTGTTTTATCCTTTTGAGTGAACATAGGATAAAACCTGGGGCTGTTCCTGGTTATTTTTCTTCTCCTGAAGACAGGAGGAAGGAGGGAGCAATGCAACCTCTTTAGGAATGGCTGCACCTCAGCTCTGCGCTGATCTGCAGGGCACAGACCACCAGACACCTGAGCCAGCACACGCATAATACTGACACTTTTATTGTCATTTAAAGCTAGAGCGGCCCTGTAAATGTAGAGTTTCACTACTGGACCCTTCGGCAGTGGCTATACAGGTCAGATGTGGTGTCACCAGGACAGACAGAGGTGCTGCTGTGGTCACTGCAGTCACACCTGCCCAGAGCTCTGGGCATGGACACAGCACGGGGTGGCTGCAGCCAGGCTCCAGCAGCTGCACAGGATCTCTGGATTACACAGAGCAGTGATGCAGAGGCTGGATGGGAGCTTTTAGGTCTCTTCCTGTGATTACAGACAGTTTTTCTCTGGCCTCCGGCAGCCTGTCCGCACTGACGCGCTTCTTAAGGGCTTCGTGGTGAAGGTTGGTGGGTGCTTGGGGTTGGTTCGGGGTGGGGTTTATTTCCAGTTTTTTTTTTTTTTTTTTTAGTTCTCCACTCGAACACACTTCAGCAGAGAAACTGGAAAAGCTGCCTGAAAGTAGGCCATAGCAGTGCCGTTTCCATAGAAACCAGTTCACAGCGTGCTGTGAGATTCACAAGCACTGGAGGTGCTTTCGCCCGCCGGGGTGGGCTACAGCCGGTTGTCCCCGTTGACCCGGGTCCTCCGCAGTACCCTGGAGAGGGGCACAGAGAGGGGACACAGCTCAGCCTCACCGTGCCACGACCGAGCACAATGCTCTGGTGGGCTCAAGTTTCCCACTGGAGTAAGGTGGGGGCTCAGCCACATCCCCCATGGCTGGGGATAATGCCACCAGCTGTGGTGTCCCGCCCTGCTCCCACAGCAGTGACTCTCACAAGCACTGGCACAACTTCCAGCTCAAACTTAGGGTTTCCACGCAGCAAAAAAAGCTGCAGCTCCGCTTTGGGTCAGGGGGAGGCTGCATTCATCTGCCTCCAGCCAGACTAAATGCAGAGGGGGCTGTATGATGCAGGGGAAGAGCTGAATGAGCACTGGCCTCACCTTCGCTCCCGGCTCTCAAAGTGGTCAGCGAGCTGCTCTGGGGGCACACGGAAATCCTCGAAAGGCTGCTGGTACCGCAGCTCAAAGGACCCCTCTCTGCCTCTGCTTGCCAGCAGCTGGCTGGAGCCATCCCCTGCTCGTTCCCGTAGGGATGAAGCATTGAAGAGGTTTATTTCTCCGTTTTCCTGCTTGGATGAGGCAAAAAATGCTGTAGTCAATCAAGGGGTTGTGATTTCAAAGCATCTATCCTGTAGTAAGGGCAGTTGTGCAGGGCCCTGGCTGCCCTGCAGGGTGTCCAGGGCTCCTGGGGGCTTGGGGTTTGCAATGTGCAGCTGCTCTAACAGCCGCTGCTGGCACCCACCAGCACCATTTTAAATGAAGAAATAAAAGAACCATCTGTCTCAGAAGGAGCCCTGCCCTCTGTTTATGCCAACAGGGACAGCCCCAGGCCAGCCAGCTCTGTGATCCTGAGCTGCAATGTCCCTGGAGCACAGACAGGCACTGAGACAAATCCGCCTTCCCCAGCTTTTGCTGATGGGATTTCCAGGCAAGCCAAACCCAGTGCAGGCAGGACCCTGCCTGAAACACCCTGACTGCTGCAGGAGGCAAAGCCAGTGCTTGCTTTCCTGCTGGGCATCACTATGGAGCAGCATTGGGAATTCAGCCATCCACAGGCACTCAGGCCAGGCACCACCGAGCCTCACTGCCCCAGCTGGAGCAGGAGAGTGGGCAGGGTCAGGCTGGGCTCACTGGCTCTGCTCCTCAGCCCTCGAGCATGGTCACCTTCTTGTGTGTGCAGCCACTCTCACCTTGCAAGGGAAAATGTCTATCTTGACAAGCAGAGAAGCCAGCTCCAGGTTCTCACTGTAGTTGTTCTTGAGGGGAACAGCTCGGAAACCTACGGCAGAGACAGCCCTGGTGTCACTCCCTGCACAGGAACTGAGAAGGCAGTGCCCTGGCACAGAACTCAAGGGGGTTTTTCTCTCGCAAGACCCTTTTTCTCTTCTGACAAGAGAAGCTGTGGCTGCCCCATCCCTGGAAGTGTCCAAAGTCAGCTTGGATGGGGCTCAGAGCAGCCTGGGATAGTGGAAGGTGTCCCTGCCCATGGCAGTGGGGCTGGAACAAGATGGCCTTTAGGGTCCCTTCTAATCCAAACCAATTCCAATCCATTCAGTCCATGATTCTGTGACTCTCCAAACTCCCAAATTTCCCTCAAAGTGGCAGGTGGCCCCAAGGGCTGTTAGCAAATGGCTCTGCCTTCCTTTAACTGGTTGGGGATGTGACCTGTCATGGGGACAGGCTGAGCCAGCCTGGGGCCCAACAACACCTTCCCATAAAGCTCAGCATCTCCCTGGCTAACAGCGTGAACTGGTGAGGACCACCATGACCTCCCTCCCTGCTCTCCCAAGTGCTTCACCTGTCTTCAAGCCTTTCACCAGGAAGGTGGCCTGAGCCAGGAAGTTCTCGTCGCTGAACATGTCCTCCTCGTACACCACAAAGCGGAGGAAGGCAAACTCAGGGTTGCTGACCTGAAAGTGGAATTGCTTCGGGGTCCAGAGAGGGTTCAGGCCGTTGTCAGCTGCTCACAAAACACAAATGTCAGTGGGCAGTTCCACTGAGTTTTTCCACTGCCCCCATGACTGATGCTGGGCTCTGGGGCAGCACGAGGGCAGCTCCCAGCTCAGTGCCAGGCTTTGCTGCAGAGCCCACGCCTCACACCAGGATCAGGAGTGATGGTGCATCCCTCTCCCTTCCCTTCCTCACCCCACTCACCCACGATCTCTGTTTTCTGCTTGGCATTGTCATACTCAGCACCAGACACCTCCACCTCCACGAAGGGACAAACAATTCCCCTTCCATTTTTGGGAAGGTGCCGGGCCCCCAGGACCTGAGTAGAGAGCAGGAGAGACTTGGTAAGAGACAAGAACAAAAGGGAAAAAATGTGTTTGAATACCAAGACATTTTCTTCCCAAATAAATCACCCTGGCTCTGCTAATTGGAGAGAGAAGCAGCACTGACAGCCAGCCTAGCCAGCAGCTCGGAGAGAAATAGTTCCCACCCCTGGAAGCTGCTATAGTGTTCTTGATCCTCTGTTTGACTTGTAAGCCATAAAAAAAAGCAGCTGAACTGCTCCAGGTTCCTGCCTGCTGCTGGCACAGCCAGGCCTGGGCCACAGCATCCCTCCCCCAGCTGGCCAAGCTGGAGCTGGGCTCCCAGCCCAGCTGGGAGCACTATGCTGGACCCCTCATCTTTGCTGAAACTTCTCAGCCCTCCTGCCTTGGTGCAAGGAGGAAAAGGAGCTGCTCTCCAGCACTGCTGTGCCTCGTGCCTGCAGCACAGTCTGTGCTGCCCTCGGCTGACAAGCTGCAGCAGAAAGCAGTGCAGCTCCCTCCTGCCCGTGGCCATATGTCGCTCCAGCGTGCTGTCGGCACGCTGCTGCTGCAGGGGAAGGACCTGCTGCCAGCACTGGATCATGTGCTTTGAGTCATGCTGGGCTCGAGATGGCTTCTCCATCCATGAAAGCTGGCTTTGGTGGGGACAGCAGGCAGTTCTGCCAGACAACGAGAGGCTGAGCCTGTCTCTTAAAGGCAACAGTGACTGGCTATGGCACAATGACTCTTGACACTTGGTGGTGGCAGCCGCGTCCTGAGGTGCAGGAAGAGCTTGGGAAAACAGATGGGGCAGGGAATTTTTAGGGAGACAGTGGGCATGGGGTCAGTAGTGCAGAGGGTACATAATAGGGTGTCCTCTTGGAGAAGGGCTGTGGCTTTTTTAGGTGGGATCACTCCAAAACAGAAGTGGCTGCAGAGGAAACCTGTGAGCACCTGAAGGCAGGATCTCCACTGCATCCTCCCCAAGGTTTACACAAGCTGAAGAGACTGGCAAAGGAGACTGTTGACCCTAGCTTGGTTCTGAGACCACAGGGAATGCCTGTACAGGCTGCTGGTCTAAACATGAGAGCCAGCTGCTTTGGCACAGCCCTCCAAAGCTTTGCCTGGTGAGCTCTCCCATGTCCCTGCAGAGCCTCTGCTGTGCAGGTCAGAGCTAGCACAGGAACAATCCAGCCTCAGTTGCACCATTAGGGAAGTAGAAAAAAACTCATTAAGCATCCACAACCCCTCCTCTGTTATTCCCACCCTCAGCCCCCCTCCTCTTATCATCACCAGCTGCACAACACAGAAATGGCCCGAAAAGTTTGCCCTGACCTCGAGCATCTTCCCAAAAGGGGCCATGATCAAGGGGAAATGGAAACATGGAGCCTGGAGTGAGTGACAAGGAGGGGACAAAGCACAGCTCTTGTGTTGTTAGCCTGTGGATGCAGTCCCGGCCAGGCTCTGGGGACAGGGATGCCACCTCTGCAGGTTGGGGATGCCACCTGCTGGCACTGGGACCTGGACAGGAGGAGTCCTGCGGGGAGCATCCAGGGATGCTCCTGCTGCTCCTCCCCAGGCACCCTCAGCAGCCTCTGTGAGCCCAGAAAAACCATCCTGCCACCCCGAATCTGCTATAACCACTGGGGTCTGACCTTGCATTGCCCCACACCAGGAGGAGGTACTGACCTCAATGGAGATGGAGAGTGGTTCTGTGCCCCGCAACGTGCTCTTGTCAAAGGGGTCAAAGATGTCATCCCTCATGTTGGTCGGCTGCAGGACGTACCCACACTGGCCACTGGACATGAACAAGGCCTGGTTCATCTGCATGGGCTTGTCTAGAGAGCACAGGTAGGAGATACAGGAGATGAGGGATACTCTGTGCACAAGCTGGATCATCACCCCCATCACTGATGCTTCTCAGGAAGCCCTTGGCAAGAGGAGCTGGCTCACCCCTTGGCAGTGCTGAGCAATGTGTCCCCACTGCAGCCTGTGCAAGTGTCAGGGCCATGAGGTGACTCTCTCATGCACAATCTGCCCAACTACCCACTGCTCCGTGGGTCACCTCCCTCTTTTCCTCTTATTTTCAGCTTTCCGTGCGCTGCCTGTAGCGTTTGCCAAACACCCTGTGAGATGCTTGAATTCACAGAAGGAATGAAAAAGCCAGCAGGAACAAAGAGGCAGGTTTTTTGCTGGTGTGTCGGTGAGCTGAGCAGGCTCACAGCAGGATCTGGCAAAGGCCAGGGAAAGGAAGGCTGGACTGCATGGCAGGAGCAGGAATGGAAGCTGGGGAAAGGCAAGAAGAGCAGCCAGCTGGACTCAGACCATGCAACCAGCTGGTGTCCCCAGCCTGGGGCAGCACCATCCCCTTTGGCACCTTCCCTGCCTGCCCTGCTTACCACCAGGGACCTGGGAGAACCCCCTGCCTCCTCTCCATTTCATCTTTTTCTCATAATGGCACAATCCCCAGGCTCAGTGCAGCTCCTTGGCTCAATCCAGCCCTCTGGAGCATGTTAACCCAGCTCTCACTGCCTGCAGAGCCCCTCCAAGCCCCTGTTTGCCAGGAGCAGGGCTCAGCAGGAGGCTCAGAGGAGGCACAGGACACCCCCAGGAGCCAGCCCACCCTCCCTGCCTGCTGCCCTCACCTGGGGTCTGGAAGTTGAGTGCCACCAGCTGGCTGCCACAGATCCACATGGGCAGGGGGTCGTAGTTGGAGGAGTCGAGGCGCTGGCCCTTGGGGTAGATGCGGGAGAGCTGCAGGCGGTTGTACTGCAGGAACTTCTTGCCCTTGATCTTGTTGACGTACTTCTCCGCCTTGGTCTCGGGAAAGGAGGACATGTCCCGGTAACAGGCCCTCTCTGTGCCGATCTCTGGAGGGGACAGCACCGTGTGAGGCAGCAGCACACTCCCTTTGCTGACACTTAACCAGCCCAGCTCCTTCCTGATGCCATCCTCTCAGCCCTGGCCTGGCCACCAGGGCTGTGCAGACCCTGCTGTGCCACAGTGGGTGTTTGCCAGTACCCAACTCCAATGAGAGCAACAATGCAGCCCCCACTGAGCAGGCATGATGCTTCTCCCCAGCCCCAGTCCCTCTGCAGCTGCTCTGTGTGCTGACAGACCCCAGGAACCAAGGGATACCCTTTGGAGCTACACCCAGAACTCCAAGGTAAACTGGGGATTTGGACACCTAGCCTCTGCTAAGATCTAGCCAAAGCAGCCCCTTGGGGTACACCACAGGGTCTGTAATGCCACAGTGACTGCCTGTGAGGGCCACCAGCTCAGCAGATGCTCACTCTCTTCATCAAAGGGCACAGGTCGGCAATAGACCACCAGTTCTGAAAGCTCCAGAGCAATCTTCTTTCTCCTCTCCATCATCTTCCCTTCAGAGAGCTGCCAAGAGAGGGTGAGAGAGGTGTCAGGCCAGGTAGGAGCAGCGGTGATGGATGACCCAACTCACAAGCTGACCCTCACTGCTTGGTGTGGCTCCTGCCCACACTGTGGGGACCACCAGCAGATCTGCCAGGTCTGCATGGGGGACATCACACACGTAGGGCTGGGTAGGTCCTACATCCTGCCCAGAGCAAGACTGGCACTGGTACCAGCAGAGGGCATCTGTAGCCTTGCACCCTCCACTGATGGAGACCTCTCACTTACTGAGCACTCACCCAGTTGTCCAATTTTTCCAAATATCCAGCCTGAACCTCTCAAGCTGTATGGCCACCACCCTTTGCCACGTTGTCCAAGATTTCTCTGGCTTTACCATCTCTGCAACAGCTCTGCCAGCCATCACAGGCTGTCACCTCACCACCCCCAACCTGCTCCTGGGCTCCTGGAAAACCCAGCACTTGGCAGGAGCTGCCTCCTCCCCTGCCACGGGCTCCCCAGGCTCACCCTGGCATCAGCTGTCTGAGCTGCCTCCCGGATCTTCTTCACCCAGTCCAGCAGGTCCTCGTGCGTGTCGGCCGCCACGTCCAGGGACAGGCGTGACACCGAGGACATGCTGATGGAGAAGACGAAGAGGCGATTGTTCTTCCCCTCGGGGCGGATGGCTGCGTGGGACAGGGAGCAGGGGACAAGGTCACTGCAGGTGCTGAGCCAAGCCCTTCACAGGCAGGAAGGGAGAAGACAGGCAAAGGGACTCATGGCTACCCTGGCACTCCACAGCTACAGGGAACTCCCATTTCTGGGCGCTGGAGGCAACAGACGGAGCCCAGGCAGCAGTAAGTGAGGCTGAGAAGCCTCAGGGGGCTTTGCAATGCTCCCTCCCTGGCACTCACCGATCTGGCAGGAGGGCACGTCCAGGACCCCTCCGAGCAGGTCTCCCAGGGGGCTGTTCTCATCCAGCTGCTGCTGGGAAGGAAGCACAGCAGGATGGTGCTGGGAACAGTGGGCAGAGCAGCCAGGCTCGGGGGGCACAAACCCTCCTTGCTGTGCTCATGGCCATACTCACCTCCCGCTCTGGCTCCAGGCTTGTGGGACTGGTAATTTCCTCTACATAGTTGGAAGGGAACCACAGCTGCTTTTTGCCACCATAATCTCCTCTCCACCTGGAAGGGAGGGAAGGGACAATGTCAGCACTCAGCACAGGACACCAGTGTTCTGAGTGGGGGTGAGGGGAACAGCTCTTCCATCATCTGCTTTCAGGGTTTGTGAGGCTTTGGAACTGTGCTCTCACGGGTAATTCCCAGACAGACCCACCCCTAGAGTGGACACACCTTTGTGTGGATGGTGACGGCATAGTTTGACCATATCCCCTAGGGAAAAGGGAGGCTCAGGACCAACTCACCAGCCTCCTTCCTGCTTCTCCACATTCTGGATGATGGCATTTTTGGTGAAGGTGAGCTCGTCTTCCCTCTGTGCCTTGTAGTCAAACAAGGCTTTGACTGCACACTGCAATGAGGAGGGGTCCCATGAGGCTGGCAGGGAATGCCCACAGGATGAGAGATCACCTCCCACCACAGATGTGCTTGTTGGGGGGCTGTGAGGCTCATCATGTGCAGGCAGGCAGCATCCAGCCCTGCTGCCAGGCCCTAGTGACACCTTGCAGAGCAAATCAAGGCCCCCATTTATGCCAAAGCAGAGCTCACAAGTGTGGTTTGGCTCCACACAGGCACTCCCCTCTGTCCCAAGAGCCACTGAGGGGCTTTAGTTTGGAGAGCTCAGAACAAGAGGCAGCCCAGCCTGGGAACCTGGAGGTTCAACCTCCACTGTCTCTCTCTTCATGGTCTAGAAATGGGTGTGCAAACTAATACAGCTCTTAGAAAATGAAAAGATCCTTGCTAAACCCTCCAGCCCTGCAGTTTGTTTTGTGCCAAACAGTGAGAGTGTACCTTGAAGGTGGGCATGGGGTTGGCTTCCACATAGAACCCAGGGTGGCGTCCCTCGTACAGGGCTCCATAGTCTGGCTCCTGGGGAAGCAAAGGGACATTGGTTACAGCAATGACTGCAGGAGAAAAGGTTCCGTACCTTGGGCTAGGTGGGAGAATGCCCCAGGAAGGCACAAGACCAAAGATGATGCTGCAGACAGCCAACAGCAGCCCAAGCCTGCCTCAGAGGGGCAGCACCAAACTCCACTCCAGTGTCAGGAAGCCCCAAGAGGTGTGGGCTGCAAAGCACAGAGATGGCTCACACACCACCACCGCAAGGCACCAGCTCAAAAACGACCATCATTCTTGGGCTCCTGCACTCACCGCTGTCCCAATCTTCTCCAGGGTCTCCTCGTTGATGGGGTAGCGCAGCTTCATCTTGCGGTACAGCGGGTGCTTCTCGTAGTAGCTGATCAAGTCCACCAGGCTCTCGAATTCAGAGTTGCCCAGCAGCACGGTCTGGCCCTCCTGCTGCACCCGGCAGTGCTTGATCTTCCCTTCTGCCCTGGAGGGAGGAAACACCGGGAGAAGCCACTTAGCACCTGGCAAGAGAGGGTCTCCGCCAAAATAAAGACACCAAGGAAAAGGTGTCCCTGGTGGGGTGGCTGAGCACAGCCGGGAGGAAGAGCAGGCTCTCAAGGACGTATTCAAGGGCCATCCCACAGCAACAGGAGTTCTGGGAGAGCTCGAGGCTGGCTGATGGCACCTGTCCTGCTCTCTCACACACTGCAGCAGCCTGGCTCCACGTCCAGCACCCACCCCCCCTGTCCCAGGACCACACCTGAAGGAGATGGCGTAGGAGCTGGGCTCGCTCCTCTTGCGCACCAGGAAGGCTCCGTCGCGGGGCACCCGCATCAGCATGTGCTCGGCCTGGGCCCGCGTGAGGTTGGCGTGGTACCACCTGGCAGGACAGACATTGTTGTGCACAGCTCACACACACCCAGCCCATCCCACACCCCTGCCACAGCACCTGGCTTCCCCTCCAGCCCCTACAAGGCTCCTTGAATCCTCCAGAGGAAGACAGGCACTGCAATGGGGCAGGCAGGATCAGAGCCTTTGGTGAGGTGTGGCAGGGCATCCCAACCAAACCCAGCAGCTCTGTGCTCTGCACTGAGCCTCCATGGCATTCAGCTCCATGAACAACGAAGCTGGCCAGCATGGCTGCTGTGACAGAGCTCCATGGGGAGAAAGTGGGGACCAGAAAGCTCCAGCAAGGGAGGAATGGCTGAGGAGAGACCTGGGAGAGCTTCCCACAGTGTCCTGGCTGCCTGGGGACACACAAGTGCACTCACTCTTTGCTCTCGTGGGCATTGGTCTGTGGCACTGGCTCCGTCAGCCTCATCTCAAACTCGTTGCACCTCAGTGGCACCTCCTGGTAGTGGGTGATGAGGTCGTAGAGGCTGTCGAACACCAGGTTGTCCGTCAGGAAGAACTTGGGGCTGCCGGCGTCCTGCCGCGAGTGGATCCGGCAGTGCTGCACCTTCCCATTGCGCCTGGGGAACAAGGAGGGGTGGAGGGGGTAAGCCAGGCTCGCCAGGGAGATTTTGCACCTGCCTCAGGCACAGCTCCAGCCTGACCTGGCATTCCTGCCCCACAGGAGAGTGACTGCTGGCATGGTTGGCATGATGCTGGGGCACAGAGACAGGGCAGAGACTGCTCGCAGGGCAGCAGGAATGGGACCCCACCACTGAGGAAAACATCAATAGGAAACAACCCCCGGAGCGACACAGGGCAGTGGGCTGGCACTGGGCCCTCACCAGAAGGAGAGGGTGTAGTCTCCCACGAAGGTCTCGCTCTCTCTGACGAGGAAGGAGCCGTCGGGGGCCCCTGTCTCGATGCAGTATTCCGTCAGCAGCCGCTCCGCGATGTGCCGCCCGTCGCGGCCCGCTCCCAGCTTCCCGTGGAACCACTTCTCCGTGGAGTGAAGCTCCGTGCTGTTGCTCACCTGGCAGGGGGGAAAAGCCATCGCCTTGGGTTACTGAGGGCAGGCTCACGATGATGGAATCTGCTTTGCTGGGACCAGGGAGCTCCTGAAGCAGCTCCCATCCTTCCCACCACAGGATCTCCCCCTGAAGTCAGCTGGCAAGGGCAATGTTCAGCCCCTTGGGCAGTAAAGTCCTTTCCTCAGGGAACAACTCACAGTCCCACAGGAGAGGCCTCACCTCCTTTTGTTCTTCCTCATCCTCGTTTCCTTGGTCACTGGTGGTCTCCCCAGAATAATAGATCTTGCTGCTGGTCAGCACAAAGTAATGTGGGTTCCACTCCTGCAAGGAAATTAATTCTGGCAAAGAGACCCCTGGGGAATCACCAAACTGCCCACCATCCACCCATGGGATCATCTCCTCCTGACCAGTACAAGCAGGGAGGGACAAGCAGGTTTGTGAAGGAAAGCCACCAACACTGATTCCAGTGAGTCACAGGAGCTTCTAAGACATCCCCCAGATCTGAGGCATGGATTTATCAGTAGCAAAAAACCCAGCATGTGATAAATCACACTGCAAACACTCCAACATTTAATAAAAGGAGATGACCAAATGAAGAGCAAATCAATGCAAAACAAAACAAACAAACAAAAAAAAACCAGTCTGTATGGACTCAGCACAGGGGCAATCTGATGTCAAGATATCAGAGATGGTTATGTGGATTTACCATTGAATTTTACTGTTTTTAAAAAAAACCCTGTTCCATTTGCATGTGGCTTTGCCGGACAGACCCTCAGCAGAGTAAAGCTGCTGAAGGTGGGCTGTGAGTAAAGGCACACAGTGATGAACATCAGTGCTTTACAAAGATAAACCCTTGCTCAGGTTTCTCAGGTATGCAGGCACTTGGCAGGAGGCAGGGCTGGAAGCACAGCCATCTCCAGCAATTCCTGCAGCACAAATCACAGACTGCAGTGCCTTGGCCCAGAGCTCCCTCTAGCTCAGCCTTCTGCCTCTAGCAAAGGCCCACAGGAGATTCCTAGGGAAAAGCACTGGGAGAGCCAGCATAAAATGCCCCCAGCCTTCAGGGACACCTGAGAGACCAGACAGACCAAAAGCCTCCTCAATCATTTGTACCACAGCCCTTCCTTCCAGCACACACAGGACCTGACAGAGCCACCACATCACTGACAGAGCCTTCAGAGCAGGAACAGGGGCACCATGGCTGACATACATGATTGATGGGGTCTTCCAGGTAGAGGATCCCATTCTTGATGGAGTTGCTGATGTCATTCTCTGAGTACATCACTGACGTGGGCAGCTCCTCGTAAGCGCTGCCCTCCGCCAGCTTCTTGTGCTGTGGGATGAGAGAGGGGGTCAGGCACCCAAAAAGCAGCATAGATTTCCTGGTGAACAGCCCTAAAAGCCCAGGTCTGCTGCAGTGAAGTCCTCCAGATTAGAATAAACAAGACCCATGCCACAGGGATCATCACATGGCACTCAAGTCCCACCCCTTCTTCCCAAAGGTGGTTCCTGAAGCAGAAATACCAGTGCCCCCCATGCCCTCAAAGAAAAGCAGCACCCAGCTGCTGAGCTCTTTTCCCAGCAGATTCTCTGAAGTGAGAGAGCGTTTTTGTATCCAGTTGTTCTTAGCATCAGGTCTCCACTTCCATCCCTACACTGCCAACAATCCAAGGGCAGCTGCCTTCAGTCCCATACCCTCACCCCCTTCTCTCACTTAGGAGCCTTGCTGGGCAAGGGAATTCACCTTGATGAGAATCTTCCTCTTGAGCTGGTTTGGAGATGGAAGGCCATCAGCAGAAATATCGACTGGCTTGGTCAAGAGCATGTCTCCAAAAACCTTCTTGAAATTCTGAGCCATGTTCCTCTGCTGAGCAATGCTGCAGTGGTCCTCAATGGACAGAATGACGGGGAAGCTGGGAAAAGGAGCAGAGCCATCAAACCCAGCATGGGATCTGGATGGAACCAAGGACTTCTGACCTCTGTCTAAAAGCCTGGCCTCTATGCCCTCCAGGAGCAGGTCACATCAACAGCTATCTTTGCTGCCTGTAGCCACTCTTCAGGAGTACACAGGGTGGAAAAGGACTGGCAAACTACTGGGGTTTACCTAAAGCCCTCCTCCCACAACATTTTTCTGAGGACAATCTCCCTTTGGCTGGCAGACATGACACATTTTCTTCCCACCACATCCAGGCCTTGTGCTGCACCTCTGGATAAAGTGAGTTTCACTTTGCTACAGCCTTGGCTCCACCCTCTCTCTGCTCTGCTGGCTGAAGTCCTGCTGTACTCACTCAGAGGTGACAAAGGCGTGCTCCTTGATAGTGACCAAGACATCAGAGAACTTGATCTTGGTGGTTAAGGTGTGTCCGTGGTAGATGACTGGCATCCCATCGGGGCCGTCCCAGCAATCCACTGGAAGAGACCACAGGGGAAACTTAGCCCAAAGGCTGGAATAGAGACAGGACATGGACATGAGGTGCACTGAGCCAGGTGCTACTGGGAAATGTCCTGGAAGGCAATAAAGGAGTGAGGTGATCAGTGAAACCCCAGATCCTTCTGTGGGACCAAAACCTTGGGCACAGATCACTCGGTCCCGCAAAGCGAACGACCTCAGCTCCTTCTGCACATCATGGTGTTAACGTTGCTACTGGCCACAGCAACCTTCAGCTCTGCCTTCCTTGCAAAGCCTCCCCTGAGCACCACAAGTGCTGTGATGACAGACAGAGGGGCCACTCCTGGTACTCACGTTCGATGCAGCGGCAGCCCATGCGCAGGCAGCGGGCGTAGGCCTCCAGCGAGGACTCGCTTGAGAACTGATCCCCCGTCAGGTACCTTCCAGGTGAGACAACACATCAGCACAGGGACAAGCCCACCGTGGGTACAGCTGTCTGCTGGGACGCTGTGGACCTGCCTCTGCCCCACGGGAATGGCAGGAGTGGTGCTTCTCCACACCTGCCACTTTCCCCGGGCGAGGGGTTCAGCTCTGCCCCGCTGCAAGGGGCTGCCAGCACTCCTCTGAGGTCCTGAGATAAACCTCAGACAGCAACATCAGCACTGGTGCCACAAAGAGCCCCCTGCAGCCTGAGAGCAGAGTTAGACCAGGATCTCACTGCCTGCCCTCAGGGCTGCTCAGCTGGCTTAGGCTCTCAGTCCTTTAGATTTGGGTTAACATGAACACAGAGCACAGACAGAGCCTGTCTGCACAGAAAGCAGTTCCTGCAAAATTATTCTAGCAGCAGAGAGAGGAAAATGGCCAATTTCAGCCTGACAGGGTTTATCACATCTGTCCTGAGAGGCTCTGGAGAACGACACTGCTAATGGTGAGAAATTACCAGAGCAACAGCTCAGGATGTGAAAGCACCTGAAGGCCTCTGCAAATGTGTGCTGCTGACAATGTCTGAGCAAAACATTTATGGCTAAATGACAGAAGGGAGGAGTGGGGCACCAAGAGGAAGGTCTCTGATGTACTGGCCTTGGTTTGGAAAAGTCTACTTGACACATCACTGGAATCAGGCAAAATCAGGATACTCCCACCCTAGCATGAGAAAAGGATGCAGAGAGCAGCTGGTTGGAGTTCTCCCCTTCTCCTTACGTGTTATGTGAGGAGGAGATCCAGTAATGGGAGAGAGGGTTGTTCATGTTCTCCAGACACACCATGTCCAGTTGTGAGTTCCAGATGCTGTTCTCTTTGGAAAACAGGAAGGTGAGAAACTGCTCAGGAAGAAACAGAAACAAGTTAATGATGCAGAGGAGCCAGCTGCTGTGGTTTAACTTCACACACATCTCCCATTCTGTGCCAGCAGACATCCAGCTCAGACTGACCAGGGCTGCCCACAGCACACCAGCTACCTGAGTGACCACAGCTTGGGCACTGCCACCTACCCACTGAGCTCTGCCAGACATCTCTGTGCCAGACCCTTTGACCCAGCTAGAGACAGATTAATGGCTCTGCATTTTATTTTGCAGCTCACATGGTAGGCAATAGCTTACTAAGGCCATGTGGGTCAAGGACTTTGGCTTAGTCCAGAGTGCCAGTGACATGGTCATCTCTAGCCGTTTTTATTCTTTATTCAGCTCTTCTTGCTTTGAAGAGATCCTTACATACCCCAAGGCAGCCTTAAACCAAAGGCAGCCCCTCTCCTCCTCCAGATGAACTGCCTGGTGAGTACTCCCAGCTGCACATACTCAGCACTAAAGGACAGCCCAGAGGCCATTCCCTTTGCCAACCACATCCATCTCCCAGGAGCTGTGATCCTTCCAGCACCCCCACCCTGCAGCAAAGGCACAGACAGCAGAGCTGTCCCACCACAGCACACATCACACCAGGGATGTCATCCCTTGCATCACCCCACAACCACACATGCCACCTTCAAGGTGTCTTACTTCGTCCAGGGAGAAATAAGGCTCGTCAATCTCCCTCAAAGGGTCTCTCAGGAAGTTGAACATGAATTCCTGTACCTGAAGGGTATCTGCAGCCCAGAGCTCCTGCAAAGCCCAGGGGAGACATAAAAGAAGCCATTTCAGAATGTATTACTGCAAACCACATGCAGCTCATCCAGTTTGAAGCTTTAACCATTAAGGAGGTGGTTTTTGATGCAAGGCCATCTCTGCCAGGAACTCAGCTGTCAGCACAAATGCTGCATAGCACACAAGGAGGAAATGTGCCCTTCTTCTGAGTGGGCTTCATTTTCTCAATGCCATGCATTTTTCTCTCTGATAGCTCCTTTGAACAACATCTGCCATCCCTCCTCCTTCAGCAGCAGAAGCCAACCCAGCTTCCTTTGGCTCTCTCACCCCGAGTTTCTTTCATTAGCCACCAAAACACTGCATCTCCCCACTGGTTAACTCCCTGCTGGCTGCAGACCGCAGGCAGGGAGGTGGCAGTGGGGACAGGGCAGATCAGGAGCCACAAGCCATGGCAGTGCTTCTGCCAGCCAGCCCTGCCCTCCTGGAGGAGACCAGCAATGAGACAGGAACCTGGCAAGAGCCAGGGGGTCTGTGCTGCTCACAAATGCACTGCTGGTGCCTGCATGTGTGTCTGCACATGCATGCCGTGCTTGCTGAGTGACCCAAGATTGCTTTTAAATTGAAGAATCAGCAGCTGAATCTACCAGCTGCTCCTCAGGAACTGCTGAGACCTCCTGGACAACAGGATGGACACGACTTCTTGGCTGCAGCAAACCTTTGGTAACCAGCTGAGGTCACGGGGACTGGGTCAGCCTCCACTGATCAGTTCCTGCCTCCTGGGACCCCCACTCCTCACAGAACTCCTGGTTCCTTTTCTGGCCATGGTGCCCAGTTCAGGTTTGCCCTCCCCAGCACCTCCCCTACAACTGCTCCTGCTCCAGAAGGATGAGCTGTGCCAGGCAGAGCAGTCCTCAGCCCAACCATCCCAGCCCCACAGCAAGGCTGCCCTCGGAGCACTGGACCCCTAACATCACCAGTGCCTACCCCACTGTCCCTCCCACTGCCTGTGCTGAGCTCACCCTCTGGTACTCCAGCAAAAACTTCTGCAGCTCCAGCAGCGACACCCTGAAGTGCTCAGACCTTTCTACACCCCTGACAAGCAGAGAGAGAGAGAAGTTTCAGTCACCAGTGCAGCACATCACTGAGATGCCATCTGCCACCTCCCTGGCAGTGCAGCCAGATGTGCCCTGAGCATGCAGCACTGCAGGAGCAGAGTGGGATCAGCAGAGAGCTGAGCAGAGCAAACACATGTCCACACCTCAGAACCAGGGACTACTCCAGGGTTCACACTGACAAGGGCGTGATAACATTAAATTCTGGTGAAGGGAAGCAAAAACCATTAGAGGGATGGATTAGTGAAAAAAAAAAAAAAATAGAGGGTGTGGTTTGAACCTGAGTGTAAAGAACTAAATAGGTGCAGGGCAGTTAAGGGGTGACTGCAGACAGCACAGACCTACAGGTATGCAGAGAACATGGGCTCATGGAGACAAGACACAGGGACTGAAGAAGGGAACTGTTTGTAGCTGATAATCTCGAAAGACTGGTGCATGACTGCTGTAAGTCACAATGGACAGCCAAGGGCCATGCTGGGCACTAACACCACAAAATCCAAAGTGGACTGGGCAGTGCTGGCAGAGGGATGAGCCAGATGGTCTGCTCAGGGTCCTGACATCTCTTTTCTATGGTTATAGGAAAAAAAAAAGGAAGGAAACCATTGGGAATTACCTGGACAAGTCAGTAAGTCTTTCACTCTTTAGCTCCTGTGTCTAAATTCAAGCTCTTTCTATCACAGCCAAGGTGAGCAGAGGGCAGGGAAGGGCACAGCTGGCAATGGCACCAGAGGCACTGCCTGGGTGGGGAAGGCTCTGCAGCCAGCACAAGCATAATCCCTGGGAGATGGCTCGAGGTCTGATCACTTCACATCAACCAACTGACCTGAGCTGGATCTCACTGGGATGTCTGGGGGGGAGAGAGCCCTCCCTGCCCCAGGCTAAAGTGCCTACAGCAATGATGCTTTTTCAGAGCACAGAACCACAGGCAGCACAGGAGCAGGAAGAGTGCAACATCCCTCATCCCAACATGCTGCTGCAGGCCCCAAAGCATGTTATGGAGCAAAAGAGAACAGTCCCTTCTACAGAAAACACAGAGAATTATCCACCTTTCCAAGAACGGGACATCCATCTGCAAAAGAAGAAGCACAAGCATTAGGTTTGCACTCAGTAACTTCTTTACTCCCAAGAGAAGAGCTCACCCTGAGGGCAGCAGGGTTAAAAAGTCAATTAATTGGGAATGCCCAGTAACAAATATGGTTTCTCCCTTCCCTCTCCTCCCCTGGAGAATTCAGCTCTTACGGTTTTCTGGGCGCTGAACATCAGGCTGCGGTAGAGCTGTGCAAACTGCCCGTACGTGATGTCCCCGTTCCTCTGCTCCACATCCTGAAAAACAAATAAACCCAGAGGTTTTACAGAGGCCACAGGTAACTCTGCATGGCTTAAGGAATGTCTCTTCCCACCAGTATCCCAGGGGAAAGAAGGGGGAGAAAAAAGGCCAAAACCTGTTCAGACTTTGCTTCCTGCACAATGGCTTCAAGTTGTGCCAGGGGAGGATTAGATTGGAGATTTTGAAAAATTCATGGAAACAGTGGTCAGGCATTGGAACAGGTGACCCAGGCAGTGGTGGAGTCACCATCCCTGCAGGTGCTCAAAAAACATGTTCCACTTGGGATATGGTTTAGTAGACATGGCAGTGCTAGACTCAATGGTTGGACTCAATGATTTTAGAGGGTTTTTCCCATCTTAACAAATCTGCCACAGTCTCTGCCAGGGCCAGCGGGACCCTGCAGTGCCCAGGGCACAGGCACATCTAAAATGAGTTTCACAATTCCCCAAGCTCACCCTCATGAAGGCAACCCACACATTGATAAATGCCACCACTTACTGAATACTTAAAAAAGGATAATTTGATTTTTTGTTTGCCCAGAATATCTGAAGCATCTGGAAACTGCAAGAGCCAAAGTGTGTGCTTCCTTTGGATACACCACTCTTTGGCCTTGGAGTTCTGTGCTGGTAGGAAGGAGATGACCCTTCATCCCCGGGTCAGTGGTGATGCTGGCAGAGCATCACTTGCTGGCAGTGGGTGCCAGAGCCAGGGTACAGGAGCTGGCAGCTGGTCTGCAATCTACCCCACCAGCACCAGCCCATGACTGGAGCCAGGAGCAATGAGGGGAGTGTGGGAGGCAGGGTGGGGTAAGGAGAGAGTGCTGGCCACAAATGGGCCAGGGTGCGGCACCCAGTGGGAGCTGGCACCTCTTCAGTCACCACCGTGGGTGGGGGCCCTCCCAGGAAAGGCTGGGAGGCTCTGCAGTATGCAAACACTCCCTGGGAGTTTAACCAGCAGCAGGTTTTGCTCAGAGGCAGGCAATGGGCTGCTGAGGGTCCCTGGTGCTGAGGGGGAGGGCAGAGGGGTCCACGCTCACCGTGAGTCTCTCCCGCAGGAACCTCATGTTGGGGACCCGGTAGTTGACCTGGGACAGCATGTTCTTCAGATCCTTGGCAGAGATCCTGGGAAAGAGGGGAGACATGTTGAGGAGGTCTGGGATGGAGGGGGTCTCTCCCTGGGGCTGGAACATGCTCAGAGAGGCCGTGCCCAAAGGGAAATCAGCTGTGACACGAGGATGGACGTGTGACCCCAGAGCGATGCTGAGGCTGGGAACAGCGGGCAAGATGTGGGAGCAGAGAGAGATGGGGATGTCAGTGGGGACTGCAAACACTGCTCCTGCAACTCCTGACAGAGCAGAGAGAGCCCAGCACCCTCTGCCCAACTGAACTGATGCCACAGCTGACAGGCAGCACCCACTGCTTTAAATGAGCGACCAGGAAGAAGCATTTTCCAAGTATCTCTGCCCCAACATGGATGCTGGGTGAACAACTCCCTTCCAACACCCACTCCCTGGCCTGCTGGAGGAGGACATGCCCTCTAAGTGGTTAGGACTCAGCTAACCAAAGGTGCTGGTTCCCAGACCAGGGAAAGCTCCAGTGCCAGCCCTGAGCAGGATCCCACACCCCAGCAGGCAGAGACAGGCAGGAAGGAGCTCGAGGCTGCCCTTGCCTGTTCCGGAGCTGTCCCCACATGGGGCACCAGGCCTGCAGCAAGGAAGAATGAGGATGCCTCCCATCTGCAGGATTTAGAAGCTGAGGGGTCTGTGTCCAATCATTTTCTGGCAGCTCCTGCCTTAAAAGCAAGTCCTGGGAGTCCACCCCTGCAATCACAGATGGTGCTTCTGTCCCCCACTGAGCACATGGGAACACAGGATCCTACAGGATGCTCCCCCATCCCACAAAGCACAGGAAAAGTCTGGAAATCCTTATGGCTTTGGGGTGCAAATATAAAAATACCAGGGAAGATGTCCTGCACAGGTGCACGGTGGCATTCACATGTGACATCTTTTTTACCCTCTTCCCTGAAAGCAGGGTGATCTCAAGCAGCACAGGAAGGAGGAGGGATGGAGAGAGCTCCACGGAGAGGAGAAAGCAGCTGGTGTCAGGCGCTGCAGAGAGCAGGGCTGGACACAGAGAGCCCTTGTCCTTGTTCCTGGGCTCAGAGCCCTGGGGACACACACACGGCCACAGCAGACCTGGCCCTGCTCCTGTGCCGTGCCCAAGGCCAGCACCATCCCATCCAAGGACTTTGCAGTGTCCTGCCACTTACTGGCAGAACAGAAAAAGAAAAAGAAGGAAAAAAAAGGCTGAGAAACGGCCCCAGCCTCCCCTTCCCTCACAGCTGTACAGTCAGCAACACACACTGAGCACCACACACAAGGATCTCCCCTGCACCTCTGCCTCTCTGGGCAGGTGAAGTTACCCTGGGGGCTCACAGTGAGTGTTCTGGGGAGGAGATTCTGCCCTTTCCCTTCTCCAACACACCCAGCATCCATAGTCATGTGCGGGGTGCTGTGTGACCCCCCCCCCCCGGGCAGGGGGTCACAGCTATGGGGTCCTGGGTGACAGAGAAATGTGTGGAGTGACCAGGAGTACAGCCAGAGATACCCTCACATGTCAGGAACCACAGCATGGAACAGTTGTCCCCAACAGGACACATAGAGTCCCCAGGGCTGCCCAGCAGCAATCCCTCCTTGGTGGGAGCATGAGACTGCAAAAAAGCTCATGGAAAGAAGAGCAGGAGAGGCTGGAAGAGCAGAACCAGCAGCAGCCATCCCTGGAGACTCGCTGGAGCTGGCACTCAGCTCTGGTGATGCTGAACTGTTTCACAGGAGGTGCTGGATCACAGCCCTGCTCGCTGCTGTGACAAGAGCAAGCCCTGTCAGAGCTGTGACCAGCATTTCCCTCTTGGCTGCAGAAGGAGGACAGGGTATGGAAGGATTTTATTTATTGCGTGTTATTCATCATCTTAAAGTGCTGCAGACCTTGGATAAACAGCTTAGTAGTATTTTCAGACTAGAAAGTGAAAACAAAATAAACTGATTTTTTCTATGGAACAATTTTTAGGGTTTCATGACAAACAGGCCAGAGGCCCAGCCTTCTCACAGGGGATGGAAACATTCCTCTGCCAGCCCTCAGTGCTGAAAATGCTGCTCCCAGCCATGGGCAGCTCTCCTGGACAGAGGTGAAACAGTCTCCTCCACAGCAATTAGGAAAAAAAAAACCCAGCATCCTGTTATCCTGCTCTTTCCACCTAACCTCCCTTGGAAAAACAAATACCCAAAGGGCCAGCAGCCAGTGGAAACAGCCACCATCTGCTGGTGCTGCAAGGGATGGCCCGGCCCCCAGCAGGGGAAGGCAGAGAGAAGAAAGGGCTCCAGCACAAGAGGCTGAGGCATGGGGTTCACAAATGCTGGGAATGATTTCTGCAGCTGCCAAAATCCTATCTGTTCTGGAAAGGATCAAGGATGGTGTGCAAGTGGGGTTTTTTTAAAAGAAAATCACAACTCACTGTTCCCTTTGAAAACCCACTTCCAGGCTGAGAAGCAAAAGCAAACAGCTCCTTGACATTAAATTTAATGCTGAAATGCCTCACAGGGGCCAAGATTTAATCCAGGAGATGTGTATGTCACCTTGCAGAAAACCTCTACTTTGCAGAAAACACATGGGTGCCTGTAAAATGTTTGTTAATGAGAAGACCCCAAATCTTTTCACATCCCTTCTGTTGATGTTTTCTCCTCTCTGCCTGGGCTGGAGCAGCAGCTCTCCTAATTAAGGGTTTTGCACTGAAACCTCTCCCTGTGGGTGACAGGTAAGGAATACATTGGATTTTGCTGCTTTAATTCTAAATGCTAATAGAAAGATGATATCAATAGTAACAACAGGGATGCAACAGGCTGGCTGTCAGCTCTGCTGATCTGCCTTGGGCAGACAGATCTATACATGCAATCTCCTTTTGTACTGCTGGGATGCCATTTCATCAGTTTTACTGCATAACCAGAAGGGAAAAAAGGACCAATTATTTCCACTTTTCCTGCACTCCTCTTCCAAAACCTCCCCTGCACCTGCCTTAGTGCTCTGCATTGCAGAATTAGGAAATACTGTGCCCAGTCACCACTGTGTATACAACCCAAGCCCGGATTCAAAAGGTGTGTGGCTCATGCAGAGCAGCTGCAACAGATTAAAGCTCCTCTTCTTCCCTTTCAGCCTCTGTGGGGATTTATCCCTCCTCCACAAAATCCCCGAGCACCCAGCAGTGCTCTCGTCACACCACACTATAAATCACTGCAAAGGTAAAAATGTCCAGTGAAGCAGGACCTGCCCCATGCAACACGGTCCTGCCCTGCTCCTGGACAGGCTCAATTTGTGCCCTGGCTCGCTGTCCTGGGGGGGTAACAACAAGGACAAAGCAGAGGATGCTCTGGACCCCAGTGTTCTCCAGGCAGCCCTCTCTGGACAACAGAGCCTGGAAAAGGGGCAGGTGGGATCCAGCCCAGCTGGAGGCACGGCTGATGCCCCCAGGGGAGCACATTAACACAGGAATCAATGCTGAAAGGTTAATGGGCTCAGTTAACATCACAGGGGAGAAGCATGGCCCATGATGGAAGGAGGCAAACAACAGCAGCTCAGAAAGAGCCAGCACTGGGACTGGAAAACTGGTGATGGCAGTGGGACAAGAGAGCAGAGCACGGTGGAACTCACCTCCCCAACAGGAAAATGTCCCCTCCCTTATCTCATGGTGAATCATGACCCAATTCCCTTCCCTCTCCTCTTCAAGACAAGCATAACATTTTACTTGCTAGGACACACTGAGTACTCACCCAAGAGCCCCACAAGCCAAGCAATGGGATGATCCATGCCCTTATGGGCCTCAGAAAAGGAGAACAGAACAAACAAGGTGGAGAGTAATAAACACAACCCAGTTCAGCCCTGATGGGGTGCCCTGAACTGCCTCTTGGCTCTTTGATGTCTGCTTCCTTGGGTGGTGCCAGGTGGGGGAAAGGTGGTTCACAGCTGTGGGCTCTCAGGGGGTTATTGGGTCTAAACAGCTGAGAAATAGGTCAGGAAAACAAGACAGCTTTTTAATACTTCTTTTAATTCAGTGAAAAGAGAAGTTTGGGACTTGGATTAAGGTTCCTTGGAAATGAGCATTAAAAGCCTAAAGGACCCAACAAAAAGCCCAGGGGCTGGGGCTTCAGGCCAAAGGTGAACCCTTCCAGCTCAAACCCTCCTCTGAACACGAGTGCAGCTTCTCCCTCCTTACCTGTCCTCCCGGTTGCGATCCAGGGAGTAGAACTGCTTCCGGAGCCACCTGCACAGGGAGGCACAAACAGGCACACACTCAGCTCCTCAACAACCAGCCCCTGCTCCAACCTCTCTCTGGAAGATGCTCAGTGCCACACCACCCACTCCCACATCCCTCCTTCCCACCAGAGAACCCGGCTCTGCCCCCTTTCACAGGCAGCCTACGCTATTTTCATACAAGTTCTGCTTTAAAAATGCCTCTGCACTGAAGTGCTACAGATAACACAGGCTGTGCAGACAGGGAAACATCAATTTGTGGTGAAACTCCTTCTCCCTGATGCATGAGATCAAACGCTGGGGTCAGCAGGATTAAGCTTCTGGAGTGCAGATGCAGAAGTGCTGGGTTAGCACAGCTCAGAGAGGGAATGAGATGTCACTGTGCTCACCTTTTTCTGTTAAAACAGACAGAAGGGAGAAAAAAGAAAACAAGTGCAGGAAAAAGACAGGCTTTCCTCACCTTTCAATCTGCAGGGGGGTGGGTGCCCTCAGAGTGTCTGCCACCAGCCAGTTCAGCCCCTTGAGCCACATATTGACCTCATCCTCAGAAGTGGCTGTAGAAAATGCACGGGAGAAGTGGGAAGAAGGGACACACAGGCTTGATCACCAACCCAAACCTCTTGGGACTATCCCCAGCACCTTACATGCCCTACTCCTTGCTTCATCCCCCTTCTGGTAACATTTGCCACGCAGATGCTCTGGCTGGCTCCTCTCCCTGCCAAGCTCCTGCTCCTCTCCTGTGGGATGGATGTGGCTGCCTGGACCTCTTGCCCCGTGTGTCCCACTCCCTCCCCCTCCAGTTCCCAACAACTCAGAGTTATCTTTGTCCCCAAGCAGTGAAACTGTTTGGGCCCTGTGAGGATGAAGTTCTGGCTCAAGCCTGTCTGGCACAAGCCAGGGCCAGGAGGAGTTTACCCTGCAAGCTGAGGGTCTTCAGCCGGAATTCTGTGCCGTAGAGGACAACGAAGCAGTGCGAGTGGTCAGGTCGGAAACACGGATCCTCCTGGTAGCGGTCAAAATCACGGGAGTTCCTGCCTGGACGGATCTCTTTGATCTCACGAATATCCACTAAGAGAAAGGGAAAACAAAGGAGACCTTCAGGGAATAGCTTGGAGTTCCCAGGGCATTGGAGAAGGAAGGAGACAGGTGAAGTGGATTTAGTCATGCAAAGAGCTGGGTTAGCACCTATTGCACGATGGCAGTCTCAGGCCTAAGCCCTGTAAGCACAGCCCCCTCTTACCATTCCCTAGGAGGTTTCCCCAGCCAGAACCCCCCAGTTACCTCTGTGTTCCCCAAAAATGGCTGCATGTCTCCCCCCCAGGGATCCCAGGAAAGGGGCAGCTGTGAGGAGAAGGAGCTGAAGAGACACTGATAAAGCAGCATCTCACAGCCTCCCTCCCCAGAGGAAATTCTGGGAAAGAACTCCTATTGCCATAGAACAAAGAGAAAACAACAGCAGCAGCAAGGCAAAAAAAAAACCAAAAAACAAAACAAACAAAAAAACCAAAACAAAAACACAACAACGAAACCCAACCCAAACCCAAGAATTTTTGCTTCCTGGAAAAATAGTTTCTTAAATGCTCGTGGGAATCAAATAACAACATTTCTGAGTCACATTTCCAAAGCAGATGATGCTTCTGAACAATGCAGGACGGAGACTACTGCAAACCTGGCATGTAATTCATCCCAATTAAACTCCACTTACTGCACTCACTGTGGATCATCTCGCCTTTCATTTCTGTTTACTGTAGTTTAAAACTAGACAGAAATGTGACCTGCCCATCACCCACAGCACTAAACTGCATCATGAGAGATGATGCTCTCTCCAAACCCACAGCAAGGCAGGGATTGACTTTGGGAGGACTTGTAAAGCACAAAGAATGTGGGATCCTCTTCTGGATCCTGCTCCTGTGCAGCACTCGGGGTGCACCTGGAGACAGTGGCAGCCTGCTCACTGCCTGCCACAGGACATATCCAGACTGACCACTCTATGAATTTTGGGGGTGTCCTGTGCAGAGTCAGGAGTTGGACTTCATGATCCTTGTGGGTCCCTCCCAGCTCAGGATATTCTATGAATCTAATAGCCCTGCAATGCTAATAAAGTTGTGGCAAGAGCACAGAAAGACTCAGTTCCTTGGGGCTGCATAGGAAGGACAGACAAGCTTCCTAAAATAAGCAAGAATGTGACTTTTTGAGGCATCATCTACCCTTTGGAAAGGAGCTGTCTGGCAGCTCAAATGTTATGGCATGCCCTGCCATAACCTTACCCGTGTGCTCCTATCCTTAGGGACACAGCAGTTTACTTTAGCCTGTAAAAACCCATATCACAGCTCAGGTCTTTGCATCCAGGACACATACAGTGGGGCTGAAGGCTAATCCTGTCCTTGGAGGATGCAATGGGGGAAAACATGTCAGATGACTTTCCAAGGTAATAACTACCAAAGGAAGGTGCTGGAATATTCCTGCCCTGCCTTTGCACCAGACTGCAAGCATATTGTCTGCCCTCTGGGATGCTGCAGAGCTGGCTGTGCCTTGTGCTCACCCCTCCCTGCACAGAGCACCAGCAGGTTACTACCGAGCGAGGCAGAGCTGGTGTTACAAAGTGCATACCTAAAATCCACGCAGTGGAGAGAGCCCCGGAGCAAGTGAGGTGCTTATCAAGGACAAAAGCACGCAGGGAATTCCTGGGGCAAAGGGCAGCCTTCCTGAGGATCAGGCAGGAACCTCCAGCCCACGCATACTTGCAGCTGCTTGCTCCTCTCTCTCGCCCTCCCAAACCTGCCTGAGTGTGCTGGGGAAGGCAGCTGGGCTTTGGTTTGTGCAGCCCTCTTCTCACCACAGAGCAGCACAGCAGCCTCGCCCCCAGCACCCTGCCAGCCCCCTGGCAGCTGGAATGAAGCGACTCTGAGCAGGAAGCCTGGCAAGCACAAATGGCACCATCCCCAAGCACCAGGGCTGAGCCAGGCTGTCCTGCACCAGCCCTCCCTCTGGAAGCACAGGAGCCAGCAGGGAAAGCAGGGCAGAGGGGGTTTGCTGGAGCCCAGGTCTCACAGAACGCTCTGCAGGCTCTGCCCTGCTCAGCACCAGCGATTTCCCATCAGTGGTGCCACGGGCTCCGTGACACGGCCCGCGTGTGTCCCACCGTGGGGCTGCACCTCGAGTCCCTGCAGGGAAAGGCTCACCAAGGATGTGGGCAAAGACACTGGGTTAAGCACTGCTGGGGTCCCAGCTCCACAGGCACGCCTGGCCAGGTGACCTGGGGCAAGCCCTCTGAGGACAAGTCCTCTGTCACCAAGGTGAGCCACATCTCCTCCTCCCCGAGCTGCCCTCTCCCAGGGCGTGTTGGGGAGGCAGAGTGCACAAACTGGTCCTTATCCTCCTGGGATGTGGCAAGAGAGGAAGAACTTGGTCCCACGGCGATGGCAGAGGCAGAGGGAAGCTCTCTGATGGAGTATGAACCCTGCTGCAGCCTGGCAGAGCTGGATGCCCCAGAGGAGAGCCAGCAGCAAGCAGGGGTGGATGAGCAGAGGATGAGATTGGAGCCTGGAATGGGCTGGCTCCTCTCCAGCCCTCCTGGGTGGGTGTGCAGGCAGGAGCCAGGAGAGGCTCCGGGAAGGAGGCAGCAAAGCCCATCCAGCCCAGAGATGCTCTGAGCTCCCCACATTGCTCCACAGTGCACACTGAGCCATCCCATGGCTCTACAAACAGCTGTGCCCTTCACAACCTCCCAAACTTCCCCGCAGCCCACTGCCAGAAGAAACAGCCTGGCCCTCCCTTTGTCTCCAGCACTGAAAAAAAAAAAAAAGAAAAAAGAAAAAAAAGTCACTTCTGGGCAAAGAGCCCTCTTTCAGCAGGAGTGGGTTGCATCAGAAAGAAAAAACTGACCCCAGATCCACCTCGTCACCATGTCAGAAAAAATCCCACCAAATTACCCTCTGGTTACATGAAAACCAGATCCACCCTTGAAGTCATTTAAAACTGAAACTTCATCCAAGCCTCATTTACCCACTGATGGATAGGGTGTTGTAACGTGTAAGGATAAGGACAGCCTGGAACAAACTCTGAGGGTTGCAAAATCGCCACCTCCAGAGGATTTTTGGAAAGATGGAAAACTGATTAAATTTTTTAAAAAAATTTAAAACCTGACAAAAAGAGCATTTAGCCAGATTACTTTCCAGGATGGGTTTATCAGAGACAGCCTCCAAGCAAACATCCACCCCCTCAACAGGCTTTGCTGGGTCTGTGTCTCCCTGGGGAGAAATGGTGCAGTGAGAGCCACAGGGGTCACTGCCAGCCCAGCCCGACCTCAGCTGGCTGACATGGACTGATCCTGCCCGGGGGCAGCAGAAAAGCCTCCAGCCTACTCATTCTGGCACAGAAAAAGAGGTTAAAAAAAGAGTCTTCCTGCTATTTAGCATTGTGGATCCCACTGAGCACAGCCATGTGGTCATCCCCAGGCTTCCCATCACTGGAGGGGCACCAGAGGGTCAGGTGGCCCCCAGGGAGAAAGAGGAAAAAGACCTGTATGTGAGTAAAATAGAAGAAAAATCTATTATGCAATGGCAAGGCAGTGCCACCTCCCTTTTAATACTTCAGTAGAATCCCCCTGAAGTGGACATTTGGGCCAGCAGGAGCTGCAGGAGCCTGGAGGAGGATCCTGGCTCACCTGCTCCTGCTGGCACCCACCAGCCGGGTGCTCCCCCCACCAGCATCCCTGCCCCTGGCTCTGCTGCTGCAACCCAACACCGGCTGCAAGGAGGACAAAAACCCACCACAGCTCCCCCGGGAGCCCTAAGTGCTGGGCTGGCCGGGGGCCAGGGCCCTCAGCACCTCTCAGTCTGGAGCCCAGCCCCTGGCTGCGGGGGCAGTCGGGCTGAGCTGGGCTCTGGCACAGCCTAGGAATTAGGGTGGCTCTTAGGGCACGCGTGTCACACCCGTAAGGAACAGGAACATCCCCTCTGCATCCCTGCCAGAGGAAGCCAAGCACTCGGCCCAAGCAATCAGGAGTGTGGTACATCAGTGTTGTGCTCAGAGTGACAACAGCTCAGCCCCTCAAGGCCACAAGCTTCCCTTCATGGACAAGCCCAGAGCAGGCACAGTGAGGCTGAACTGAACATCCCTGCTCGGAGGGAGACAAGGTTACCACATCCCCCTCCTGCTCAGCAGCGGCTATCGGGTTTCCAGAGGAAGAGCAAGTGCCATTAGCAGATGGCTTATCCAGACAGGACAGCAAGAAACCAGCTGAGGCCTCTCGTTTGACCTTAACTGGTTTTCCAGAGGGCAGGGAGCATGGCTGAGCCATCCACCGGGACCGACAATCGCCAAAGCAGCAGCACCCTGTGCTCCAGAGCATCCCTCATCCCCTGTGAACTAAAAGGCAACAAACTCAGCCATTTCAGTTAAGCACTCAAATCCACTTAAAACATCCCCTCACTTCCCTTGTTGTCCCAGGGAGGAGCCATCCTGGTGCCCAGGGGATCAGTGGGTCCCACTGCTCTTGCTGCTACAACATGCAGGTGGTACCTCTGCCTCAGGAAAAGAATCAGGCAAAGCTATTTTCCCCTCCAGACTCAGCTCAGCTGTGTCTCAGGTTGCTCTAACAAGGTGCTTCATCTCACCTGCATCAGCAAACTGGATTTTTTGCTCCAAGCCACTGGATTTTGCTATGAAGCAATTGTCTCAGTATCACTACCCCAATGCCAGCAACATCCATGCAGAAAGTACCTTGGGAGGGAGATGCTGTAGGGAAGAATAGCTCAATGGGCTGGAGATGGGACAACAGGGAGTTCCTGACTAGCCAGGGTGACTGGGGCTAGTCTGGGTCCTCTCAGCAATCCTGTCACTCGATGTGGAGTGAGAGGATCTGGCAGGGAGCTTGAACAGCACCAGGGAAGGGGCAGCAGTGCCAGCAGTGTGCCCCAGGCAGCCCATGCAGGGCACATGGGGATGTGCTGGCTGCTCTGTGGGCACCGGGGCTTCCTGCCCGAGCCTCTGCCTGCCACAGCCTCTGCTGTGCCCCCCGTCACATGTCCTGTGGCTTCTGAGCTCCTATTCCTCCCTCCCCTGTT